AAAAGTAATGGGACAGAATAATAATCATAAATCAAACTTTCACTTTTTAATACTTGGTTGCAAATCCTTTGCAGTCAATTACAGCCTGAAGTCTGGAACGCATAGACATCACCAGACACTGGGTTTCATCCCTGGTGATGCTCTGCCAGGCCTCTACTGCAACTGTCTTCAGTTCCTGCTTGTTCTTGGGGCATTTTCCCTTCAGTTTTGTCTTCAGCAAGTGAAATGCATGCTCAATCAGATTCAGGTCAGGTGATTGACTTGGCCATTGCATAGCATTCCACTTCTTTCCCTTAAAAACTCTTTGGTTGCTTTTGCAGTCTGCTTTGGGTCATTGTCCATCTGCACTGTGAAGCGAACCAATGAGTTCTGAAGCATTTGGCTGAATATGAGCAGATAATATTGCCTGAAACACTTCAGAATTCATCCTGCTGCTTTTGTCAGCAGTCACATCATCAATAAATACAAGAGAACCAGTTCCATTGGCAGCCATACATGCCCATGCCATGACACTACCACCACCATGCTTCACTGATGAGGTGGTATGCTTAGGATCATGAGCAGTTCCTTTCCTTCTCCATACTCTTCTCTTCCCATCACCCTGGTACAAGTTGATCTTGGTCTCATCTGTCCATAGGATGTTGTTCCAGAACTGTGAAGGCTTTTTTAGATGTCGTTTGGCAAACTCTAATCTGGCCTTCCTGTTTTTGAGGCTCACCAATGGTTTCCATCTTGTGGTGAACCCTCTGTATTCACTCTGAAGTCTTCTCTTGATTGTTGACTTTGACACACATACACCTACCTCCTGGAGAGTGTTCTTGATCTGGCCAACTGTTGTGAAGGGTGTTTTCTTCACCAGGGAAAGAATTCTTCGGTCATCCACCACAGTTGTTTTCCGTGGTCTTCCGGGTCTTTCGGTGTTGCTGAGCTCACTGGTGCGTTCCTTCTTTTTAAGAATGTTCCAAACAGTTGTTTTGGCCACGACTAATGTTTTTGCTATCTCTCTGATGGGTTTGTTTTGTTTTTTTCAGCCTAATGATGGCTTGCTCCACTGATAGTGACAGCTCTTTGGATCTCATCTTGAGAGTTGACAGCAACAGATTCCAAATGCAAATAGCACACTTGAAATGAACTCTGGACCTTTTATCTGCTCATTGTAATTGGGATAATGAGGGAATAACACACACCTGGCCATGGAACAGCTGATAAGCCAATTGTCCCATTACTTTTGGTCCCTTAACAAGTGGGAGGCACATATGCAAACTGCTGTAATTTCCTACACCGTTCACCTGATTTGAATGTAAATACCCTCAAATTAAAGCTGACAGTCTGTAGTTAAAGCACATCATGTTAGTTTCATTTCAAATCCATTGTGGTGGTGTATAGAGTTAAAAATGTTAGAATTGTGTCGATGTCCCAATATTTATGGACCTGACTGTATAATCTGATCTTAACCTTGATATGCAGAGCCTATTAAAAGTACATGCTCTGAGGAGGGTTTGGAGTTCTTTGATTGGTAAGCTGACCCTCCCACACGTCTAATCAGCATGTGTCTACTAAATTTATTTATTACAGGTACTTATATAGCACCATCAATTTATGCAGCACTTTACATATATATTGTACATTCAAATCAGTTCCTAACCCTCAAGGGGCATACAATCTAAGGTCCCTAACTTTCATTCACACATACACATACTAGGGCCAATTTAGACAGGAGCCAATTAACCTACCAACATGTCTTTGGAGTGTGGGAGGAAATCGAGTACCCAGAGAAAACTAGCACATGCACAGGGAGAACATGCAAACTCCAGGCAAGGTGGTGCCGTGGTTGGGATTTGAACTAAGGACCCTACTACTGCCAGGCAGAAGTGCTAACCATTTAGCCACTATGTGATTTGAACCTACCCACAGATTGTTGCTAATTCAGGGAAAAATCAATGTACTTATAATTTCCTTTCCCGATTAACTCCTAACAGCATATGATCCCTCCCAGATGAGTAAGTGAGCTATGGAACACGTGGATTGGATAAACCTCAAAATTTAAAGGAGGGGGGTCCTATGAGGTAGGAGCAAGTGAGGAGTCTAACAATTTGTATGGAGTTATCCAGTAAAGGAAAATTATGGTAAGTATTGATAACAATTTTCCACTTTTTGGTGACCTATCACATTTTTGGAGGCTCTGGAGCACCAGTATAGTTGAACACGCACATAGTGACCACATTTTGGAAAGAAAACACTCCAAGGTACAGTATTCTATAGGAGGCATAGTGAATCTTTTGAATATTTATTTTTTTGCCACAAGTTTTTAATTTTTTTTCCACACAAAGTTGTCAATTTATTGGGATATTTCAAACACACAGTATGTGCATAATTAGAATTATACCCCAAAATGTTGCTACTCCTCCTGAGTATGGCAATACCACGTTAGACTTTTTCAGTGTTTGGACTGATTATGTGTATCTGACATTGCATCTTGTGCATGTCGCAAAAATTTAACCACGAAAAAGTGTACTGTAAGGCCCACCTCTGTACAAGTGGTCAGGGAATATAGCTTAGTGTAGCTTCCCCTATAGCAGTCCCTGTTCTTATAAGCAAATCCTACTGATATATGTTACCCCTCTCTGCCAATCCCTCCGCTGGCTTCCACTCGCCCAGCGAATAAAATTCAAAATACTAACAATTTACAAAGCCATCCACAACTCTGTCCCCAGCTACATAACCAACCTTGTCTCCAAAATATCAACCAAACTGCTCTCTTCGATCCTTCCAAGACCTTCTGCTCTCTAGTTCCCATGTCACCTCCTCCCATGCTCGCCTCCAGAACTTCTCCCGAGCTTCTCCCATTCTATGGAACTCCCTACCCCAATCTGTCCAGCTGTCTCCTAATCTATCCACCTTTAGACGATCCCTGAAAACCTTTCTCTTAAAGAAGCCTATCCTGCTTCTACCTAGTAAACCACCATTTATTTCCTCCATCAGCTCATCCCCCCACAGCTATTACTTTTTGTATCACTCAACCCTTCCTCCTAGATTGTAAGCTCTAACGAGCAGGCCCTCTTTTTCCTCTTGTATATAATTGTATTGTAACTGTAATGTCTACCATCATTTGGTAAAAGCGCTGAAAACTGTTGGCGCTATATAAATCCTGTCTTATAATAATAATATGTAGCTGAAACCCAGGATCATACACAATGCTATGTTCACTGGCCAGGAAGTACAGGAGTCTGAACAAATGAGCACCTGTGGTTCCAAGAGTGCAGTTGTCCACAGAGATGGCTGGGACTGCTGTCTCACAGGAAGGTAGTCGGCGAAATATGTAGATGGATCAGAATAGGCGGCTGGCAAAGACATGGTCTGCAAACAGGGAAAGGATTGGTCCATAAGGCAGGCAGAAAGATGGTCAATATACAGGCCAGGGTCAGAGTAAGCCAAGACATGGGCTGTATGCAGGCAAAGGATTAGTTCAGGCAGCAGGCAGAAATGTATTAGATAAACAGGCCAGGGTCAGAATAGGCAGCAAGCAGAGGTGACATTGCACTTTTGAGGAGGTGATCAGGAATACTATAGCTACCTGCACTGGTCTAATGACACTGTGTACTGGTGTGGAGGCAATCAGGGACACTATGGCTGGCTGCACTGGTGACACTGTACTGGTGCGGAGGCAATCAGTGACACTGAGGTTGGCTGCATTGGTCTGTTGACACTGTGCTGACATGGCATGGCTAGCAATCATGGATATGGCAGTGATCAGGGACACTGTGGCTGGCTGCACTGGTGTAGTGACACTGCACCAGAGTGGCAGTGATCAGGGACACTGTGGCTGGCTGCACTGGTGTAGTGACACTGCACCAGAGTGGCAGTGATCAGGGACACTGTGGCTGGCTGCACTGGTGTAGTGACACTGCACCAGCGTGGCAGTGATCAGGGACACTGTGGCTGGCTGCACTGGTGTAGTGACACTGCACCAGCGTGGCAGTGATCAGGGACACTGTGGCTGGCTGCACTGGTGTAGTGACACTGCACCAGCCTGGCAGTGATCAGGGACACTGTGGCTGGCTGCACTGGTGTAGTGACACTGCACCAGCGTGGCAGTGATCAGGGACACTGTGGCTGGCTGCACTGGTGTAGTGACACTGCACCAGCGTGGCAGTGATCAGGGACACTGTGGCTGGCTGCACTGGTGTAGTGACACTGCACCAGCGTGGCAGTGATCAGGGACACTGTGGCTGGCTGCACTGGTGTAGTGACACTGTACCAGCATGGCCGTGATCAGGGACACTGTGGCTGGCTGCACTGGCCATGGGGCATATTCGGAGATTATGGCATATTCTGCCCCCTCTGACTTGTCCAATTAGAGAATGTCTTGCATGATTTGACCAAAAAAGTTCCCCAAGTGGCAAAGGTGACTGACCCCCTGTGCTTATTGTACAGATGGGAAGCTGCTTGAACAGCAACTGAAAGAGACCAGCTCTGACTCGTTACTACAATGAATGTCTGAATCCCAGTGACCCTCTGGATGTGAGAAATTAAGAATGAATTATAACTAAGAACCTATGTAATAAAAAAAGGTAAATCCTGGAGCTCAACTTCAAAGGATCGTTTCACCCTTTTGGGAGCATGTTACACGTTACACTCATATTTAGGGATAACATGTTCCAGGTCTGCCCCCGTCTCCTCCATGACAGTGAATGGGGGATAAAAAACACCATTATTGTTCAGAAACAGTGTGGCTGTGCAAGGCACCGCCCACACAGCTGAGTCATTCATTCACAGCAATAAGTGAATAAATTAAAGTATTACCCAACCCACAACAGTAAAATCAGTCTGTATATGCAGTAAAGCATGCTTGTTATACTCACTGTGGAACCTAAGGGTTAATCCTCCACATTGTGTAAAAAAAAAGGCTTTTTGATCCTGTCTTCTATGATCCCCCCCTTTTTTGCTACTGTCCCAAATCCATCTGCTGATAAGAGCAGAGCCTTGGGGGCAAGCTACACATGCTCAGTTTGGGTGCACTGCTACAAGTTTTTTTTTCTTTGGAGAGTGCATGTTATCAGCACATGGCCAATCAGGGCTGTCCATACAGAGGGTCAGGGGTTATGCAGCCTCATAGGACAATCAGGGGAGAATGAAAACTCCTCCTACATGCTTTAAAGCAGAACTATAGGCAATTTGTTTTCATTTTAGATGACTATAGGGAGGGTTATAACTTTATTATTTTGCCATGTGTGTCCCCCATTGGGCAGATTTAACTTCATTTCCTGTTCTGCAGCCAAAACAAGAAGTGAGAGATAATCCCCACAAAATAAGGGAATTCCTTAGGGACCCCAGGTCATGTCTCCTCTGTTACTTTTCTGGGGACAACCCAAAATTTGGGATTTTCTTTACTTTCACTTTTGATGATAATGGTAAACAGGACAAATAGAGAGGGTGAATTTCTGTAATGGGGGAACAGACAGCAATAAAAAAATCTAATAGGTGTTCTAATCCATCTTCACTCTGACCAAAACTAAAGAAAAAAAAAAAAGGTTTGCCTTTAGTTATACTTTACCCAGTGCTCTGCTGAACACTGATAGAAGTCACAAGGATGCTGTAACTGCTGATGAGAAAAGGTATTTTGCAGTTTATATTTACTAAAATAATTGCACTTCCATGTTCTGTGTACTGTGGGAGGCCAGATATAGTGAATGCAGGGTCCTGGGTTTAGTAACACCTTAATTACAAGTTCCATCTTGCAGCCACATCAGACGGTTTGAAGTTCTCAATGAACTGTGGAGAACTGGTGAGCTCTCTTGTAGTTCATTGGCATTTCCACCAGTCTTGTAAGGGCTCATGTACACGGGGCGTTTGAAAAACTTTTCTGAACGCTGGAAACTGACTGCTAGAAAACGTAGGTAAAAAATGTAAGTTTAGCCGCATTTACCCACCTCGTTTATGCACATTTATGTTTAGAAGTGTTTTTAAAAGATAACCTCAGGAGACCCTCCTAAATGCCCAGAATGCACTGAAAAATAGTAAAAAATTAACTATTTCAGGCATTTTTTTGAGAAATAGAGAGAGCAGAAGCAGATGGGTGTTGCAACTGTAGCAAAAGTGGCTCGTGAAATATGCTTGGCGCTGTGGGAGGAGCTACACAGTGCTGTAATGCCTCCGGATGCATTCTTGAGTGTACACAACACTCCTTGTGCTTTTTTTGCTGTGTTTTGATGTGTTACAATACAATTCTGTGCAGAAATAATGCAGCGCATTCTACTATTTTTTCCTGCACACGAAACTGGGAACTGACTGCACTGGTGTACCGGGTCCATTTGAATACATGGAAAACGCTGTGCATGCATCTTTGATGAAGAAAAAAGGCTCTGGAGAGCATCTGCATATGGACCAGCTCAAAAATGCGTCTAAACAGAAACACGCAAAAAACGCGTTTACAAGCATTTTCATGCATTTACACGCAGTTCAAGCGTTTGCCATTTGAAACGCTGGTAAGCTCTACTCCTGAACGCGGCTTTTGTGTTTGCAAAAAAATGTCTATAACCTCAACTGCTTGTAAACTACTGTAAACGACTGTGTACATGACACATAGGAAAACATAAAGGAGAGTTCAGGGTTGCTGAAAAAACCGCACAACTGTTCCTAAACTTCAGTTTAGCAGCTGCAGTGTACATGAGCCCTAAGGCTCCATGTACACGGGACGTTTGGAAAACACTTCTGAATGATGGAAACTGACTGCTGGAAAACGTAGGTTAAAAAACGTCTGTTTAGCCACGTTTGCATACCGTGTTTATGACCGTTTATGAGCGCTTGCGTTTAGAAGCATTTTTTAAAAGATAACCTCAGGAGACCTTCCAAAATGCCCAGAATGCACTGAAAAACAGTAAAACATTAACAATTTCAGACATTTTGAGAGAAATAGAGAGAGCAGAAGCAGAGAGGGCAGTATTTGTTGAGATTAGCTGTCTTTTTCTTTTTTGTGTGTTTGGATGCGTTCCAGCTCATTTCTGTGCAGAAATTACAGCAGCAGTGTCTAACATATTTTCTTTCATGCAAGACCTCAAAGTATGGTGTACCAGGTCCATTTGAGTACTGGGAAAAGGCTTTGCATGCATTTTTCATGATGAAAAAATGTCTCTGGACAGCATCTGGAAATGGAAGAGTTAAAAAAAATTTTCAAACCGCAAATGCTTATAAACGTGGTTAGCGGCGTTTACATGCGTTTGAAACGCTGCTAAAATCTACTCCTGAATGCAAGTTTGGTGCGTTCAAAAAAACGACTGTAAACTCAACTGCCTGTAAAAGACTAAACTTCTAGTGTGCATGGACACATACGAAAACATTAGGGGAGGGTTCAGGGGCTGCTGAAAAAAACGCAGAAAAGCTCCTAACTGTGCGTTTATCAGCTTCAGTGTACATGAACCCTAACTGTCTGAACATACAGGGGTACAGGCAGGCAAGCTGCAGACAGTGTCTACATGAGAATTATATTGTAAACCCGTTCCACTAACTGCCGATGCAATGCTCTGCAGGCTAATCAGAAAAATAAATAAATAAGTAAATGCACACTTTTTCCTGCAGAAATATATTTATTATTTTTTGTTAATAAAAGGTGAACATATCCTTTCTGCATGACAGCTATGATCTTCACAGAAGCAGTTAATTTTTTTTTTATAAAAAAAGAGCTTTTTTTAAAAATATGTTTTCATTACTATTTCATTTGTGCATTAAAAACCTATCAAGTAATATGCTATATTCTCCCCAGTAACATGCTTTTGCATCAACATAAAACAATTTCTAACATTATTTGTATATTATATGATATGATATGCTTTGCTGTTTCAGAGTGCGGCATACACTGATTTCAGGATAATTGTCGTATGATCCATCTGCCTCTGGATGGCATGCTGCAAGAGCATAACCTTCCCACGGTTTTCTTTCCCGGCAGCATTTTGGCACAGCGCACCAGAGACTTGCTACTGGCAAGTTCACTGCAAAAGAACAGTAAACACAGCACATTATATAAGTGTTAGTGTAATCACTACACAGTTAGTCATTTCCCTGATAATGTGGGTATTTATGTAACACAAACCTCAACTGTGTACATTTTGATTGCCTCCTGTACATGTATCAACAGGTTGGAAAAACGTAAAGGAAACCAATACTGAGAAAAGAGGCTGCACCGCTGATCACTCACTTTTAAAATGCTAGCTGCCTGGCTGGCATGCTGATCCAAGGGCTTCTGAGTCACAAACCCAGAACACATACTGACATCAGGAGTTCAGACTCTACCATGACTTTTTTTTCTACTGATCACTGAGTTAGAAAGCATTTAAATATTGACTCCATAAACAGGCAACCAGCATTTTCAGAAGGGGGTCAGCAATGGCAGTTCCCATATTTGCATCATAATATGTTTCTTTTAAAACATATTCTTCTTTATTAAGAGGAATGTTTCTGTGCGAATTCTGTACCGCACCCTGTTCATGCCAACCACTGCGGGTGTGTATGTTAACAACACCCCGAAATTGGTTTGCAAAACGCGGTGCGATGTACAGAATCGGATCGCATGGGTGTGAATATTTATTTTAAATATAATGATTTTTGTGACACTGTTGCAAAGTTTCTTACCTGGAGATCTTGCCAGTTACAGTACTTCCTGTTGCAGGTTAAAGCGGAGTTCCAGCTGAAAAAAATAAATAAATAAAAAAAGGCAGCAGCTACAAAAATACAGACACTTACCCAGGGGCGGACTGACCATTTGTAAACTCGGGCACTGCCCGAGGGCCCGGGGTTCAGTAGGGGGCCACATGAGATGCCCTGGTACCTTTTTCATAGGCTTTTTTGAGTTTGGGCAAGGACACAGGGGCCCCATGATCCCCTATTGCCCGGGTCCCAAGGGGCCCCATGAGTTGTCAGTCCGCCCCTGCACTTACCTGTCCCAGCGATGTCCTCCCCCAGAGACCGTTTCACCGGCCGTCCCCAGGCGCCGGCATCTTCAGTGTAGGCACCTGGCTGTGACAGCTTGCGGCTTCACAGCTGAGTGTCCCCACTGCGCGTGTACGAGTAGCGCTGCGCTTTGTGAATGGTCTGGTCATCCCCGTAGTCTTCTGGGACCTGTCACGTGTCCCGCAGTCTCTGGTCAAAACTACTGGGGAGGGAGAACAACTGGTTCCTGTGCTGTGTCCGCTTCCGATCACCTAGGTGGTGGTCATCCCTGGGAGCGGGTACCTGTCAATTTCTGGTACCCACTCCCCAAAGGCGTCCTTAATGGGGAGCGGGGGACCAGTCCTTAAAGCGGAACTTCCCTTTCTGGGTGGAGCTCCACTTTAGGGTCCAGTGCTTTAGGCCCCTATCCGACTGATCAGATTTTCTTCAATTTTTTGCCAAAAGTGGAAGTAAAATGTATGACAATTAAATCCTATGGAGCTCTTCACTCCAGTCAGTTGCATTTTAAAGAGTCCTGCATGCTGCATTTTTGGTGCATGTTAGGTATGCTAAAAAAAAAAAACCGCACCAAAAATGTATCAAGAACACGTAAGAGGCACCCGCAGTGGCGTTTTGTGGTGCAGTTTTTGATTTACATTGTTTATTTTTCACTGGCCATCTTCTCTCCCTGGGGCCGGCATATTTAGTGTGGGCACCCGGCTGTGACAGCTTGCGGCTTCACAGCCGGGTGCCCACTGCGCATGCGTGAGAAACGATGTGCTTTGTTAGTGGCCCCGTAGTCTTCTGAGACCTGTCACATGTCCCAAAAGACTACGGGGGGGGGGGGGGGGGGGGGTAGGACAACGTCCACTTCCGATACATACAGTATAGAATGGGCAGTTGGCCAGCTTAAACATGTAGTGCACATGTGTGAACTAAAAATCCCTCTTTTTATTGCAACGTTTGCTGGAAAGGATAATTAGCAGTGTACAGAGTGTTTCTCCAGGATTGCTAGTGTTAATATGTGGTTACCCCCCCTTTAGCACCTGATAGATAAATGCATGTACAAGCTATTGGGATTTGAGCACAGGTATATCTTGTTTCTGTTGGATTGTATCAAGCACACATTGCTGCTATCCTGGGCAAGGATCTTCCATTGCTTTTCAGAAACATAATAGGCAGCCTATCAATCAACTCAAGGAGCGCATTTGACAGGCTTAAAACACTTCTGCTTTTTGTACAGCGTTGTCAGCCTGCAACAGGAAGTGCCGTTTCTGGCAGGATCTGCAGGTAAGAAACTTTGCAACAGATTACAAATTATTTCTGTAGGAATTCTGCATACCGTAAAACATGTGTAGCAATGACCCCTTGAAGAGCCCCTTGATATGTTGGGTCTCCTGTTCCAGAGCCCATACACTCTGACACACCTGGCTAGACAGGGAATGTTTACTGCAGGTAGCTGTATATACACCTCAAGGATTTAAGGTACATAGACACCAGCAGTGACACAACAGCTGTTTAAAGTGTCATTACATGGTATATAATTGAGTGTGCACACCCACAAAAGCATTTGTTTTGTGTAGAGTGAAATATACCTGGTTGATTCTGCCTTCAACTGTCCCTACCATCTTCTCTCTGTCCCTATTGCAGCCTGAGATTGTGTAGACCAGCTGTTGTCATCTACTGAGAATGCTCCAGTTTCAGTTCCCTTCGAAGCTCTTCATTTCCTGCTTTCTTATCTGTGCAGCAGACATGAGTATAGAGCCACACAGGTGGGCGCATT